AGGAGGAGGAGGGAGGAGGGGGGACCGCCAGCCCGCGGGCCACCGCTGCACGTCTGCGGCAGCGGGGGCGCGGCCGTCTCCGCGGGCGCGGGCGCCGCCGCCAGCGAGCGGCCCCGTGCGGGGGCCGCGGCCGATCGCGGCGGCGACCGCCGCCCGCGTCATCCTGCCGCGCCGAAGCGCCCGCGGCGCTGGGGGCCCAGGGCCGCCCGCCTGCTCGGAGTCCTCCTCCTCCTCCTCCTCCTCCTCCAACTCCTTCCCCCTCCTCCTCCTCCTCCTCCTCCTCCTCCTCCTCCTCCTCCGCCCGCCTGCCCGGGGCATCCCCAAAATTTGGAGTCCCGGGACGGTGCAGTGACAGACCGCACGGCGACCTCGAACTCCCCCAAGAGCTCACCGCACGGTCCGTCGGCCGCACGGTCTTGGGGCCCTGGAAGCCCTTGTCGCCCGATGCATCCTCGGAGAACGACTCGAGTCCCAAATCCGTGCCGAGACCCCGAATCCCCACCGACTCATCGCACGGTGTGGTCACCACCCCGTTTCGAGGCCCCCGGCAAAAGCACCGGGTGCTGCCGGGAGAGGCTCTGGCTCGCCGGAGAGAGCGAGCGCTCGAAGCCCAGACGTGCCCGCGTTCGCGCACCCATCACGACGGCAGCTCTTTGGCCGCTCTCGGCCTCTGGGGGCCCTCGCCGGGCCCTTGGGCCGTCAAACGCCGACTCAGCCCTCAGCAAGACGACAATTATGTCATGATGCGATTTGCTCAGGATGCGTTCCAGGAGTTCCGGAGCAGATGGCGGCCCTAGTTTCTGCAGCCCGTGTGGGACACCCTGTGAACCTTGGAAATCCTGGAGCGCGGTCATTATCATGGCCTCTTGCCCCTCTTGCTCCGCCGGGCCGCCCGCCTGCTCGGGGCATCCCCGGAGCACCAGGTGCTGCCAGGAGCGGCCCCGGCCCAAGGTTGACTACCTACCAGACCACCCCAACCCAACCCGAAGACCCGAATTTGACCCGAATTTCGGGTTGGGGGGGGTACGGATTCCATGTGATTTTTCAACGTTCCCCGACCCCCCCCCACTGGAAATCGAGGATAAATTTGGGCCTTCGGGTTGGGTTGGGGTGGTTTGGTGGGTGGTGAAAGGTGTCCCCAGCTGCGCGCGCCACCTCGGAGCCCCTGGGGCCCTCTGGGTAGGCGATCGATGTTTCATCCACGCCCCGCTGCAGCCGTCCACCGTGGGCGCCACGGTGGCAGGACATGGATACAAAACCAGGCCCGGGGACCAACACAAACGGATATATATATATATACATATATATATATAAAATTGTATATATATGTCTATCTATCTATCTATCTATCTATCTATCTATCTATCTATCTATCTATCTATCTATCTATATATCTATATCTATATCTATATCTATATCTATATCTATCTATCTATCTATCTATCTATCTATCTATCTATCTATATATCTATCTATGTATGTATCTATCTATCTATCTATCTATCTATCTATCTATCTATCTATCTATCTATATAGGACGATAAGCTGCGCCAGAGGAAGGGATCGGGATCGGGACCTCTGAGCTGAAACATCATACCTGGGGATGTCTGAGGATGGGAGCCGTCCTTGACGGGGCACGCACGGACTGCACCTGACGACAGGAGCAGGCGACCGCCCAAGGTACGACTCAATAAGGGTGAATCTTCTCCATGACCTCGATCTGGCCCCTAGTGTCGCCGACTGGGCCTCGTGAGAGGAATGCCTCGGAGGCCATCTGGGCCTCCTCGGGACATCGTTGGCAAGACCAGATTGATGTCATGATGCGATTGGCTCAGGGTGCGTTCCAGGAATTCTGGAGGAATTCTCTAGCGGCCCTCCCTTCTGCAGCCCGTCTTGGATATCTGGGGGAATTCTGGACATCCTGGAAGCCTTGGACCGCGTCATTATCATGACCTCTTCTTCCCCTGGCTCAAAGCTGAGACGAGGCTCAATCCGGGTGAGGATAAATCGGGAACCCCTGAGATCCGGCGGCTCTGGAGGATGTCTCGGGCGCCGCAGCCTTCTCAGAGCGCCCCGCCACACTCTCAGAGCGTTCCGGATCGCTCCGGAAGGGATCGATCCTCGTCCGACGAGCACCGTCCGAACAGCACCGCCCGTCCGACCAGCACCGTCCGTCCGAAAAGCACCGCCTGGAGCGGGACGCCCCGTGCGAGAGGCGCCGCGCCCGGGGTGGCACGGTGCGCCCGCGGCGGCCGCAGCAGGCCCCGAGAAGCCCGGGGGCCGAGCCGAGCTGGGCGGAGCGAGCCGAGGCAGGACTGAGGCGAATGGAGCCGCGAGATCGGCTGGGATCGGAAGCGGATCGCATCGACAGCGAATCGTGCCGAAGCGAAAATCGGAATCGGATCGCCGAGCCCGGCGCAAGGTGACCCTGGCCGATGCCAACGAGCCAAGCCGAATCGAACCGGAATCGCGGCCCAGCGCGGAGCCAAGAAATCCGCGCGGAGCGACACAAGTTTTTGTCTATGCAGCTTTGTCTCCTTCGGTGCAGTGAGTGCCCTGGGCCCGCGCCACTTGCGGACAACAGTCATGTCGAGCGTTGCGTTCATCCCATCGTGCTTGAGGACCACACCCCAGAAATATGCTCGAGCACCCAGAAACGTGTCGAAACAGCGTCGAACGAGTCTCGCCTCCCAGGGCCCGACACGTGAAAACCCGCAAGTTTCGGTGCTTTCTTGGTGCTCGAAGCTCTTCCTGGTGGCCAAGGCCGCCTCTCGGTCGGGCCCCCGTCGGTTGAGCAGGGACCGACCGTCCCGGCATTCTTACACGGGTACCACGACATGTTCTCAGACCACCCAAATGCTCTTAGAACCAAAACACTGTTTTTAGAACATAAGCCCGATGAGTTCAGACGAGACAGTCTCGGCCAGAAGTGTTCGAAGAACATTTCTTGCAAACCACAGAAAGTTCTTAGAACATTCTTTGGTGGGCCTACTCCAATTCCTTATTAATCGTCCCCCCGGTCTGGTGTTTTGAGGCGCCTTTTTTGCAACTGGGGGGGTCCGGTTTATTAGGGCGCTTTCTTGGATTGGAGCTTAGGGGTTCCGGCTGATTAAGGCTTCCCGTCGAAGAGGGGGGTCCAGAATATCAGGTCGCAGTTGGAGGGCGGTCCGGTTTTTTAGGGAGGGGTCGATTAAGAAGGGATTTTGAGTAGAATCGTGCCAAGACGCTTCGCCACTGCCCCCGTCGGTTGAACAGGGACCGACCGTCCCGGCATTCCTATAGTCATACCACGAAGCGTTCTTAGAACCCAAAAATGTTCTAATAACAAAAACAATGTTCTTAGAACATAAGCCCGATGTGTTAAAACAAGACAGACTCCGCCAGAAATGTGCTAAGAACATCTTGTGGGAACCACCAGAGGTTCTCAGGACATCCTCTGGTGGGGCTATAGGCGAGCCGGGACGCTTCGCCACTGCTTGAGTCGGGGCGCCCTTGCGGGCCAGCCCGGCTCTCGGAGGCTCGCGCGCGCAGGCGGGGCCGAGGGCCCTGGCCGTGCCAGCCTCGTGGCGTCGGCACCGGCGCCCGGGGGAGCAGCGGTCTGATCCCGGAGGCCCTGAGCTCAGGTCGGGCTGGTCCCCCTGCAAGTACGTGGCTGCCGTCGTACACGTTGTTCATTTCTAATCGTGCTCATTTCTAATTGTGCTCGCTTCTCATTGTTCCTGGCACCCTGGTGGCCAGGAAGAGGCCCAGGATAGAACAATCCCACCAGCCCTCTGGCGCAGGTGGTCTAGGGCGTTTCCTTTTCCAACCTCCTTCCTTTCCCTGCTCGGGAGGTTTACCCCCCCCCTCCCTGCGTCTGGACGGGCTCCCCCGCGATGTGGCAGAGGGTCCTTTGTGCTCCAAGATGGCTCCAAGAGGGCGTCAGAGAGCGCAAGATGGCCTCCAAGATGGCCCAAGATAGCGGTAGATGGCTCAAGATAGCCTCCGACACGCATCCAAGAGGCCTCAAGACGGCCCCAAGACGGTTTCAACTGCCCTCCGAGGCCTCCAAGGACCCCCCCAAGAGGCCAACATCCTTCAAACACCTAAGGAAAATTAATGTTTTTTTGCCTTCTCGCTTTTTCGCCTCCGATGGGCTCTTGAGGCCTCCCAAAGAGCCCCAAGAGGGCCCATCTTTTGGATCAATGCGGCCTAAGACGGCCCCAAGAGGCCTTCCCAGACCCTCCCAAAGAGCCCCAAGAGGGCCCCAAGACACCCCAAAAGAGCCCCAAGAAGCCCCAAGAAGGCCCTAAGAGGACCTCAGGAGAGCCCCAAGAAAGAGCCCCAGGAGGCCCCAAGAGGGGCCCAAGAGAATCCCAAGAGAGCCCCAAGATGCCTCCGAGTTTCGGAACGCACGCGAGTTTAAGATACAAGTCAGTGAAGACGGCTGCGCGACTGCATGCGTCCTGCCGCCCCTGATTCACAAATTCCCCTGCTGATCGTTTCTGGATGAGGTGGTGGGGATACGCGAGTCGTCAATAATTAGAAATGAAAGGGTCGTGCCCCCCAAAAATCAAAGAATTTCGAATACAGTACTCAGAAATGAACAATGTGTACTTAAGGACCGCATCCCAGAAATCATTTCGAGCACCCAGAAAAATGTCGAAAGAGTGTCGAAACAGTGTCGGGCGAGTGTCTCCCAGGGCACGACGCGTGAAAACCCTAGAGTTTCGGTACTTGTTTCTGGTGTTCGAAGTTCTTTCTGGTGGTCAAGGCTGAAGTAGGTTGGAACATCATAACCCTACAGGCGGATTTTGGACGAATGATTAACTCAAAACATATTCAAGACATGTTCAAAAATAATCCGGACATCGTCCCCGTACTATAACCAGACTAAATTAACATGTTCCTCCTGTAGAGGGAGCGGCCCGACTTAACCCTGAGCCCAACAACGTTGCCATCTCTCGAGGGTGCATCTTTTACTTCCGCCGCCGATTTCCGAGGGTATCTGAGGGCCATCTCCCTGTGGGCGCACTTTGGAGTGCGTGGCTGTGGCTCTCCTCTCTCCTCTCTCCTCCCTCCTCCTCCTCCTCCTCCTCCTCCTCCTCCTGCTCCTCCCCTCCTCCTCCTCCTCCTCCTCCTCCTCCTCCTCCTGCTGCTCTATCTGTGTGTTTAACACGCGCAGCCATTGCCAATACAGCACGCCTCTCTAATGAGCAAGTTGGCTGCTCACTGTCTCACACTGCTCGCGTGCCGTCTAGACGCAAGGCTTCTGAACTGAACAGCTTCCGCCAGCCTTCCGCCAACTTCCGCCCGCGGATGCGGCCTCGTTCTGCTTCCGCCGCCCCCCGCCGAGGAAGAGACGGCAACTTCTTCGAGCCCGATATGCAGTCATCCGTCGGCTTGAGGCTCGAACCCGCTAAGGGAACGATGGGACAGAGCCACTGTGATCCAGAGTGCTGCCCGAGCCAACGAATACCACTGTTGCGCGTGGCTGTCGTGACATCCTGGGCACGCTTCTCACGACGTGAGGTGCCGCCGCCCCCCCAGGAGGCCTCAGCCACGGGCGCCTGGACCCGAACGCAGTCGGCCGTACGGGGGCCGAGCGCTGGAAAGAGTCGTTGCGGCCATGTGAGCAGCGAACAGAACGGGTCGCGCGCGAGACGGCACGGCGACCTTTCACGCCGTGGCTTGCGCGTGGCCGCCAGCGCAGCACACCGCGTGGAGAAGAGGGCGCTTTTGCGCGAACGCGGGAAGCTCACGCGCAACCTGACGCGCCGCTGAGGCGTCGTGCCCAACCTCTTGTTGCCCCCTCGGTCTTGGCCGCCCCAGAGCCTACGAAGATCAGGTCATCACCGACGTTCCCCGCGCAGTCAGGGCCGCGTCGGGGGCTCGCCGGTAATACTTCGCCTCGAGCTCGGGCTGCTCGTCGTAGGGCGCCCTGACGAGCCTGTCGGAAGGGGCCCCGCCCGTGGGTGCCATCGGCGACTCTGCCTTCTCCTCCTCTCCTCCCATGCACCGACACCGCTACTCCATGGACCTCTTCCGGGGCGAGTTCTGACCAGGTTTTCGAGGCGAGTCCGGCCGTGGCGACGAGAACCTCGGAGCAGGTGCAGAAAGGCGAGAACGAAGGAGGAGCAATGGCACCAGTATCTCTCATCCTGCCGCTCCTCCTCCCGTCCTCCTCGCTCACGAGGGTGGGGGCCCTGTGCCGTCGTCTCAAACGGCCCCTCTCTGAGCCTAAACAGCTCATGCACCGGCGCGTAGTCGCCGGCCCTGGCGCTGCTGTACGCCTCCACCAGCATGTACTCGCGCAGGATGTACTTGGGATTGGCTGCCTTCATCCGTCCCTCGGAGCCCTCCAGCGCCCCCTCCTGGGTGAGCACTGCGATCCAGCGCCGCACCCAGGCAGCCCAGCGCTCGCGCAGGGTGTCGCAGGGGGGCTTGTAGAACGCTGCCTCCAGGGGCTCCAGCAGCGCCTTGTCGCTGGCGTGGGCGCCGAGGCCAGGGACCCGCGCGAGCTCGCGGAAGAGGAGGGTGTAGTCGACCTCGCTCTCCTGCATCAGCCGCTCGAGCGCGCGGAAGAGCTCGATGCCCGCCCCGCTGGCCGCCCCCAGGCCCAGCTTGCTGCACCACGTGGCCTCCACGGCCGCCTCCACCGTCCTCTTGGCCTCCAGCACCTTCTGCTGCAGCACGGTCTTGCCCGCCTGGTCAAGCAGAGGCGCCAGGGCGGTGGCCAGCGTCCCGAGGTTGGCCTCTGCGGCGCCCGGCTGATTCATGAACGCGAAGTGCTCCCCAGAGCCAGTCCACTTGGCGAACATGGGGTCGTACTTGTCCATGAAGCCGAAGGGCCCGTAGTCCATCTGCCGGCCCGCGACGAGGCAATTGTCGCAATTGAAGTTGCCCTGGCAGAAACCCACCCGCAGCCATCCCGCCACCATGGCTCCGATGCGCTGCGCGGCGGCCTCGAACATTGCGAGCGCCCTCTCTGCCAGGGGGGCGCCGGGCAAGACGTCCGCGAACTCGCGGTCGAGGGCGTGCTGCACGATCATCTCGTGCTCCTCCCGCTGCAGCTCCGTGGCGTCTGGCCTCGACGCGCGCCGGGCGAAGAGGTCGAGGTGCCCGATGCGCATGAAGCTCGGTGCCACACGGCAGGTGATCGCGCACTGCTCCCGGATCATGACGTCGGGCTCGGACTGCCTCTCCCGCATCATCGCGGCGAGCATCTGACGCAGCTCCGGGGGCGCCCCCGGCGGCAGCTCAGGGAGCCCAGCGCCTCCGGCGGCGTCCCCAGAGTACCACGGCCTCTGCGTAGTCTCGCCCCCCGACACGATGAGGGAGAGCGCCCTCGTCGTGGAGATGCCCAGGTGGTGCATGGCCTCTGAGGCGAGGAACTCTCGCACGCTGGAGCGCAGCACCGCCCGACCGTCGGCTCCTCGGCAGAACGGCGTCTGCCCGCCGCCCTTGAGCTGCATCTCCCAGCGCTGCCCCTTGGGCCCGATCACCTCGCCGACGGACACGGCGCGGCCGTCGCCGTAGCCGTTCCCGTTTTTGAAGGGGCAGTTGTCATACATCGGCCGGCCCATGATGCAGAGCGCGTACGGCGTCGCCCACGACTCGAAGCCCGTGAGGGCGTCCACGTCTCCGGAGAAGAAGCGCAGGAACTCCTGGCTGGAGCACGCCTCCTCGCTGATCCCAAGCTCGGCGGCCATCTCGGGGCTGTGGATGATCAGCTTCGGCTGCGGCAGAGGCGTGGGGCGGACAGGGACGTAGTGCCCGCTCTTCACCTGGCGGCTCTTCTTGTTGGGCGCGTGCTGGGCGGCCTCTGGATCTGGCCGCAGCTGCCGCATCCACGACAGGTCCGCGCGCGCGGCCATCTCCTGCATGCTCATCGGTGCGCCCAGCGCAGAGCGCTTCGTAGCGCCTCCGCAGGTGCCCGCCCGAAGACTGCTGCCGCACGTGCCCGTTTTCCCTTGGAGGGGGGGGGGCCTGCGCGCACGCTGGGGCAAGCGGCAGCGAGAGGTTGGCACTGCGGATGCCCGCGCCGGCGCGCCAGCGTAGCGCAACGAGGCGGCGCGGGCTTGGGCTCGGACGTGCGAGCCGGCCGAGACGTGGCCACGATCTGGCGAGCGGCCAGCGAGCCGAGATGTCGACGCGGGGGCCCGGGAGCGCAGGCACACGCAGCACGGGCGGCGAGGCCTTTTTTTCTCCTCGGCAGCCGAGCACGTGCTCCCTCTCGCTGCTTGCTGCTGCTGCCCCACCTTCTACCCTGTATAGCAGATTCAAGAGTCCCACCGCTCACAACCAACTGACCACTGTGCTTTCAGAAATCCAATAGTTATATTTTTTTCTGGGGGGGGGGGCAGGCCGTGCATCCAGTCGCGGAAGTGTGGGACAACTCGAGGAGTCGCCAGGACCGCTCCTCGACTGTTTTGGTGGACCCTCCCGCCAGCACCAAAGAGCCCCCCCTGAAACCCCCAAAACCCTCTCAGAAACCCCAAGACCCCGCTGAACACTCTGAAGCTTACGTACCAAGTTCCTCCCTCGAGGGAGGAGGGACGGAGGGAGAGACGGGGAAGGAGGAGGACCCCCCCCTCACCTCCCCTCCCCTCCTACAGCCCTCGCCACCAGACGTCCCTATTCCCCCTCCCTGCAATACTTCCTACCCGTCCTCCCAGGGCGAGCGAGGCTTCTCGCCTCAGACTTCCCCATCGTTTGTGATCCTGAGCTTTGATTTCTACCGAGTGCATGGATGGAGAGCGGGTAGTCTGCAAGATGTGGCCGTCGCCTTATCGCAGCACGCGCACGTCTCAAACCAGTGAGCCCTTACACGGATGGAGGGCGGAATGTCTACGAACTGGGGCTTTAGCTTCCAGACTTCTTTAACTATCCAACTGAGTGCACGGATTGAGAGCGGCGCCTGCACAACAACGGCGCTATCGGTAGGCACTTCTTCAACGCGTGCAATCTTGTTCAACCATTTTAACACTGGCACGGATGAACCACGGCTACTTTTCAAAACGTTTTTTTTTTTTTTTTTTTTTTTTTTTTTTTTTTTTTTTTTTTTTTTTTTTTTCTCTCTCTCTCTATATATATATATATATATATATGCTCGCCCCCCCCCAGCACCCCCAAACCACAGACTGGAGGGCATCCTCTCCTTGATCTCTCCACCCTCTCTCCACACTCTCTCTCTCTCTCTCGCTCTCTCTCTCCCTCTCTGTCTCTCTCTCTCTCCCTCTCTCTATCTCTCTCCCTGGAGGTCACGATTTTGGCTGCAGCTTTGCTTTTCTCCTAAACGTCTTTGCGATGTCCGATAATCAGAGGAGCACCAAAACCCCTACGCAGAAGGAGATCACCCGCCAGAAGCGCCAGTGGGCGGAGGCAGTCGCACAAGGGCGGACCTTCAAGCCCAAGAACGGATGGTATTTCAACACAGAGGACGAGCAGGCACTTTTCAAAAAAGCAAAGCTGGCGCACGACGGGGAGGTTGACAGCGAAAACGACAAGAAGGAGAACAAGGGGAAGAAACAGGAGGAGGACAAGAAGGGGGACGAGAAGGATGACACAAAGGAGGACACGACAGAGAGCACGAAGGAGGACAAGAACGAGGACAACAAGGACAACAAGCTTTCCTGGGAGAAGAGGGTGGAAGCCAAAAAGTCTGCAGCACAGAGCTCCGCTTGGCGCCCTGCGCACGAGAAGGACGACAGGAAGGAGGACAAGACAGAGAGCAGGAAGGAGGACAAGAACGAGGACACGAAGGACAACAAGCTTTCCTGGAAGGAGAGGCTGGAGGCCAAAAAGGCTGCAGCGCAGAGATCCACTTGGCGCCCTGCGTGCTGGTTCTACAACAACGCCATTTGCATCAAAGGGAGCGACTGCCCCTTCTTCCACAGGGCCCAGAAGAAGCCCCGCGAACCTTGCCGCAAGTTCGCGCAGGGCCTCTGCTACCGAGGCAACAACTGCTGGTACGCGCACCTGGAGGGGAAGGGGGTGGACAAGAGCAAGGGGGAGACGAAGCAGAACGACAAGACGAACGAGAACACAGAGGAGGTGAAGAAGGAGGAGAGCAAGGAGGTGGAGAAGGACGGGCCCGAGGTGCAAAAGACAGGGGACCAACTGCAGGAGACGCCCAAGGAAAGGGCACTCGACGAGGAGATCCTTCAGCAAAGCCGCGCGGGCGAGTGGGAGCAGTGCACGACCAAGACCAACAAAACAGTCGTGCGCTCCAAGGCCACAGGGGAGGTGCGCTTCACCCCGCCCACGCAGAACGACATTGAACAGGAGGACGCGAAGTTCGCTGACTTGAAAAAGGCGCTTCTTTTGAAGAACAACCAAAAGCATTTCAAGGCGGCCAATTTGGCCGCAAAGTACAACATCAAGTTGGAGGGGCTGAACAAGGACAGTCGGCGGGGCCAAAACAGGCAGGAGAAGGAGGAAGAAGAGGAGGAGTAGGATGAGGAGGAGGACGGGAAGGATGTCAGATAGGAAAAAAACGAGGACACCACCGATGCCCCAATTTCCCCCCTCTTTTTCTTTCGTCTGTTTGATTACCTCCATCCTCCGTATTGTTTTCCCAGCGAAGGAGGTCGATAAAGTGCGCGCCGCTGAGGCGTGGAGGCAGGCGGATTTCAACTACCGCCGCCAGCGGGCGCTGCAGGGTTGTAAACTGTAAATTGCCATAGGGTGGGCATTGCGCGTCTTGTTTTTCGCTCGCCTCAGTTTCGGATGGGGCCGAAGCCAACTGGAGAGAAACGACAGAAACGCTCGAATGACAAAGTGCAGAAACAAGTATTAGATTCTGCATTTATATGTTTACGTACAGGAGAAGAGCCGCGGCGACGACCCTGGGGAAAAAAAGGGGGGCCATGAGGGGGGCCAGCCGCGGGCGCATGCTGTTTCAAATGTTCCAAAAACAGCAGGAAAGCCCGAGAGGCGAAGTGTAGAAAAAAAGTATTAGTTTCCGTATGTGTAGGTTTATGTTATGGCAGGGGGCCCAGCAGTGAGCCCAAGAGGGGACCCAGGAGGGGACCCAGCAGGGGGGCCCAGGAGGGGGGCCCAGCAATGGGGGCCCAGGAGAGGGACCCAGCAAGGGGACCCAGAAGAAGACCCAGCAGGGGACCCAGGAGAGGGACCCAGCAAGGGGACCCAGCAAAGGGGACCCAGGAGAGGGCCCAGGAGTAGACCCAGGAGCGGGACCCAGGAAAGGGACCCAGGAGGGGACCCAGGAGGGGACCCAGCAGGGGGACCCAGGAGGGGGACCCAGGAGAGGGACCCAGCAAGGGAACCCAGGGCTGCCCCTCCGCTATGCCTGCCTCTTTCTTGTCTCCCTCTGTCCTCGGCTCCTCTTTGCTGCTGGTTCCCTCTCCCTGCTGTTGACTAGGAAGCACCAACTGATCGTGTTCTCCTCCGTTTCCCCCTCCGTCTCCTCCTCGTTCTCCGTTCCTCCTCCTTCTCCTCCTCCCCCTCTCCTCCTCCCCCTCCCCCTCCTCTTCCTCCTCCTCCTCCTCCTCATCCTCCTCCACCTCCTCCTCCTCCTCTTCCTCCTCCTCACCCCCCGACGCATTGCGGAATACTGCCATACCTTGACCCCCTCCTTGCTCCCCCCCTCCCCGTCTTCCTCCGCCTCCCTCAGGGACAGTGTGCCAGGCAGGAAACCTGGTGAAAACACAGATAATTCTGATATTTTTGGTGGTGTTCTTAAGGACACCATATAAAAACACAGATAAAACTGATATGTTTGGTGGTTTTCTTTAGGAAACCTTGTAAAACCATAGATAAAACTCATATTTTAAGGTTTTCTGGAGATGGCACCCCCTCCCCCTCCTCCCCGTCCTCCTCCGCCTCCCTCAGGGGCAGTGGCGCCATCTCCAGAAAACTTTAAAATATCAGTTTTATATGTGTTTGTTTACAGGGTTTCCTTAAGAAAACCACCGCACATATCAGTTTTATCTGTGTTTTATATGGTTTCCTTAAGAAAACCACCAACAATATCATAATTATCTGTGTTTTCACAGGGTTTCCTGCCTGGCACACTGTCCCTGAGGGGGGCGGAGGAGGACGGGGAGGAGGGGGAGGGGGGGCGCCATCTCCAGAAAACCTTAACATATCAGGTTTATCTGTGTTTGTACAGGGTTTCCTAAAGAAAACCACCAACTATATCAGAATTATCTGTGTGTTTTACAGGGTTTCCTTAAGACGACCACAGAATATATCATAATTATCTGTGTTTTTACAGGGTTTCTATGATGAGGGTGAGGAGGAGGAAGAGGAGGAGGAGGAGGTGGAGGAGGAGGAGGAGGAGGAGGAGGAAGAGGAGGAGGAGAAGGAGGAGGAACGGAGAACGAGGAGGAGACGGAGGAGGAAACGGAGGAGGAGAACACGATCAGTTGGTGCTTCGTTTGTTTTTGGGTGGTCTGGGGGTGCTGGGGGGGGGGGGTCGACCATATATATAGATATCTCCCTCACCGTGCACCCCCTTCAGCTGTATTCTGACGCTTTGGCATCCTCTACAATCTGGGGGCTGGACAACGGTTGCTTTTCAAAACGGCTCTCTCGCTCTCTCTCTCTCTCTCTCTCTCTCCCTCTCTCTCCCTCTCTCCCTATCTCTCTTTCTCTCCCTCTCTGTGCGCCCCCTTCAGCTGCATGCTAACGCTTTGGCATTCTCGACAGCTTGGAGGCTGGAAGGCGGCTGCTTTTCCAAAGGGGGCTCTCGCCCGCATGGCTGGCCTACAGGTCGATCGTCTTCCCGGGGGGGGGGGGGGGGGCGCTCGCATGGGCTGGTGAGGAAAGGAGTCGGAACGGGAGGGCGTACTGCAGCACCGCTGATGCATCCTGGAGTCGCTCTGGTTCTCTTTCTCCTCCCCCACCTCTTCCTCCCCCTCCTCCTCCTCCTCCTCCTCCTCCTCCTCCTCCTCCTCCAACTCCTCCTTTTCCTCCTCCTCCTCCTCCTTCTCCCCCACCTCCTCTCCTCTCCTCCTCCTCTCCTCCTCCTCTCCTCCTCCCCTCCTCCTCTCCTCCTCCTCCTCCTCCTCCTCCTCCTCCTCCTCCTTCCCTCCTCCTCCTCCCCTCCTCCTCCCCTTCTCTTCTCCTTCTCCTCCTCCTCTTCCTTTTCCTTCTCCTCCTTCTCCTCCTCCACCTCCTCCTCCTCCTCCTCCTCCTCCACACCCTCCTCGACCACCTCTCTGGAATTGGGCCAAGCCCTGGAGCTGGGGCCCCCTCCCCAGGACCCCACACCACCCTGGAAAATCAATGCAACTTTGCAGGTCGTGTCGAATCGTCCGGGCAGCTCCCCTGGGAGAGTGCAAATATTATGGCGCACTGTAGCTTAGTTGCGTTCATCGCAGCTTGGAGGCGTCCCTGCCCATGCATATATGTTTTTGGCGATCGAAATGCAAAACTCGAAAAAAGAGCAGAGTCTTTGTAAAATTCAGGCGGCGGGAACACTCTCATTGCAATGTCGCGAGGTCTGGTGCTAGTATTGTGCCTCGGCATGCTCCGACCGGGCCAGTTCGGCAACCACCGAAACCTCCCCACTGCGTTGGTGCCAGGTTTGCTCACAGCGCATGGCCCTTGGGGAGCACGTCCAGAATCTCCTGAAAGCTGGTGATGAACCAGTCCGCACCCGCCTTGATGTTCGGCCGTACGGTCACCCCGCCGTAACCCACGAAAGCTGCTGCGGGCCCCTGTGTGCGCGCGTCCATGTCGGTGGCCCCATCGCCGAACATGATCATGGTCTTGTAGCCGTGCTTGCGCTTCATCATGTTGAGAACCTGTAAAGGGGCCCAGGAGCTCACACATAAGCAGACACGCATTCCAGGATTCCCCATCTTTTCCCATACTTTCTAGGATTTTGTCTTCGCACCGATCATCTTTCAATTTTTTCCTGAAGGTCGACGATCGATTGTGTCTGTTCCCTACCTAGGCTCTGCCTGGAAGGGTTCTTACTCGGTAAGCTTAAAGGGCCGGGCAGTGTAAATCGCCTCGGGCGGTTCCCTCGGCATCCGCCCCGCGGTTCCCCCAGTGACGTTCCCTTAGCTTAGCGTTGCTTATCTCATCTTAGCTTAGCTGATTCCCTACCTAGGCTCTGCCTAGAAGGGTTCTTACTCGGTTAACTTAATGGGCCGGGCAGTGTAAAGCACCCCGGGCGGTTCCCCCGGTCCCCTGGGAGCGGTTCCCCCAGTCCCCTGGGAGCTTTAGCTTTAGCTTTAGCTTGGCTTTAGCTTAGCTTTAGCTTAGCTTTAGCTTAGCTGTAGCTTAGCTTTAGCTTAGCTTTAGCTTAGCTGCAGCTTAGTTGTAGCTTAGCTTTAGCTTAGCATTAGCTTAGCTTTAGCTTAGCTTCAGCTTAGCTTTGGCTTAGCTTCAGCTCAGCTTTAGCTTAGCTTCAGCTTAGCTTAGCTGTAGCTTAGTCTTATCTTATCTTAGCTTAGCTTTAGCTGAGCTTAAGCTTAGCTTTAGCTGAGCTTAAGCTTAGCTTTAGCTTAGCTTTAGCTTAGCTTTAGCTTAAGCTTAGCTTTACTGTTACTACTAATGCTGCTTTCCTAGGGGCTCCAACTCCTAGGTAGGGTCGCACTGGGATAATGTCTGTTTCAGGCACCTGAACCTTGGGCTTGCCGCCGGAGGCGGCTGTGGGGTTCGCCCTGTCGAAGCCCGCGTACTCGCCGTTCTCGTCGAAGAGCACCTCGTTGGCGTACACCTTGTTCTGGGGGATGTGCAATTCCAGCGCAAGCGGGTAGAGCATGTTCTTTTCGGCGGCGAGCGAGGGCGGGAAGTGAGAAGGAGAAGTCCTTTTTAGAAGGCCGCTGGACTTCTCAGAAACCCTTGCGCCTTCTGAACAGTTTTCTGGGTCTTCGGGGAAGGCTTAGACAGCTTCTCAGAAGGCCAGGGAACTTCCGAGCCCTCTGGGAAGGCCTTCTCCTTCTCACTTCCCCCCCTTGCTCGCCGCCGATCTTAAATCCGCCGGAGACGAGGTAAACCTCCGTGCCCTGTTTGTGGAACATCTTCACGACCTCCTGCACACCAGGCGACCACTGGGGCACACCTTCTTTGACGACGCACTCCTCCAGCGTGTCCCGGGTCATCCCGTGGTCGGCCATGAGCTGTAGCCTGTCTGCCATGGCGTCCTGGAACTTCACGTTTCCGTTCATGGCCTTGTGGGTCAGCTCGGCGATCTCCTTAGAGGAACAACGAGCGCCATGAGCACAAACTACCGGAGGAGCGCGCCGATTTCGCATCCTCCCCGGCGCGCGCAGCGCGCCCGGGGCGCCAGGGGGTTCCAACGTCGGTCAATGAAATCAGCGCGGAGCTCCGAACATGTATGTTTGTGCAGTGTTTTCTTCATAATCTCCTTCATGACACCAAAGCACTTACCCATGAGGTCGATGCCCTCCGTCTTCACCACGGTGCTGTCCACGTCGAAGAACACAGCGTCCGCCTCTCGGAGGGCGGACAACGCACATATTCAAGTCGGCGCCCGCTCCTGGCACGCGCCAGAGGCGGCACCGACGGCCCCGCTAGGGGTGCGGGGCAGGGGTGCAACGATCCAGTGCCAGTCTTGCGAAGCACACCCAACTTGCCATGTCAGACTGCCAAAACTTCACCTGCGAGGATTAAAACACGAGGGTCGGCTACGCGCGAGAGTGACCCTGGGCAAGAGTGATCTTCGGTGCGCGACTTTTGGGGGCCGTGGGGGGGCCAAACCTGGGCGTGCAAGACGCTGCATCGCATCGCGTTCAATCATCTGGGGACCCCAGTGCGCCCGACTCTGGCGAAAGGTCACTTTTACGTGCAGCCGAGAGGGGGGGGGAAACGGTAGAGCGAGGGGAGACAATACGATGATCCCCGGCGCCGGCGGAAATGTGCCACACGCGGGCGCCCGAAGCTCTCTGTCGACCAGGGGCCGACCGTGCAGGCAGTCCTATCGGCCTACCACGACGTGTTCTTAAAACAACAGCATATTCTAACAACAAAAACCATATTTCTAGAACGTAGAGCCCGATGAATCGAAACAAGGTAGTCTCAGCCAGAGCTGTTCGCGCAAACCACAACACATTAGCGTGGCGTGGGGCCCAACCATATGCAGTTGTGGGCACCGTCGCTGTATGCACCGCCTTCGCTGGAGCTCCCTAGGGGGCCACGACGTGCGAGTGGTGTGCCAAAATGAAGGCAGTGGGCGCATGCGAGCGCTGGCATTTGGGCCTTCGGTGGAGCTCCCCATGGGGCCACGAAACGTGTGAGGGGTGTGCCAAAGTGAGGGGGGCGACGGGAGGAGCGGAGGAGGGGGAGGAGGAGGAGAGGAGGAAGATGCGAGGAGAGGAGGAGGAAACGGGAAACGTGGGGATCTCTCCCTTCAAGACGAAGACCCAAACCAACACAGGACGGTTGGGACACACGGTTCTTAGAACACTCCTTGGGCCTATATGCAAGCCGGGACGCTTCGCCACTGTTGGCGGCGCGCTCAGGGGGGGAGGGGGAAGGGGCAATGCTTTTCAGCAGGAGGCTGCTTCTTGGAAGGCGCCAGCCTTACATCCACAGACGAAGGCACGCGCCTTCTAAGAACCAGGGGTGCTTCTGAGAAGCCCTTCCCCCCTCCCCCACACCACACTCTGTGCGCGGCCGACGCTGCTTGATTCTGCTCGCGTGGTGCGCGAGGGGAGACGGCAGCACGATCCCTGGTGCCGCCGCATCTGTGCCGCTCGCGGGCGGCCGAAGCTCTCTGCTCGTGCGGTGCGCGTGGGGGCACGCGCTCGGCGCCAGAGGCGCTCGCAGGGGCGAGCGCGGGGAAGCCCCGAGGGCCTCTGCCACTCCACGACCCAGGGGGCTCCCGGAGGGGCCCAGGGAGACACAGCCAGGTGGGGAATCTCGGGAACCCTGAACCCACAGACATCTCCATCTCTTGAATATCGGCTATACGCAAGAGCGACCCTGGGTAAGCGTGACCTCTGGTGCGCGGCATTAGGGGGGCGCGGGGCAGCCAAACCCAAGCGCGCAAGCCGCTGATATCGCGGAGAGTTCGGCGATTGGGGGACCCGTTTGGGTCCGTACCATAGGTCACTCCTGCGAAAGGTCACTCTTACGTCTAGCCGATTGAAGGGACGATTTTTAATTCCGCCGCCTTCCGCCGCCTCCCAGCATTCCCCATAGTTTTCCCTACCTAGGCTCTGCCTAGAATGGTTCTTACTCGCTTTGCTTAAAGGGCCGGGCAGTGCAAAGCGCCCCGGGCGGTTCCCCCGGTTCCCTGGCAGCCAAGCAAAAGCAACAGCAAAGGTAAAAGCAAACGCGCGGTTCCCCCAGTTGCGCTCCCTGGGTGCCGAGCAAAAGCAACAGCAAAGGCAAAAGTGAACGCATAAGCGACAGTAAAGCAACAACATAGCATAGCATAGCATAGCATAGCATAGCATACGGCGTGGCGTCGGCGGTTCTGGCGCTACCACTACTACTACTACTACTACCACCACTACTACTACTACCACTACTACTACTACTACTACTACCACTACTATTACTACTACTACTACTACTACTACTACTACTACTACTACTACTACTACTACTACTACTACTACTACCACTACCACTACTACCACTACTACCACTACTACCACTACTAACTACTACCACTACTACTACTACTACTACTACTACTACTACTACTACTACGACAACGACGACGACGACGACGACGACGACGACGACGACGACGACGACGACGACGACGACGACGACGACGACGACGACGACGACGACGACGACGACGACTACTACTACTACTACCTACCTACTACCTACTACCTACTACTACTACTACTACTACCTACTACTACTACTACTACTACTACTACCTACTACCTACTACCTACTACCTACTACCTACTACCTACTACCTACTACCTACTACCTACTACTACTACTACTACTACTACTACTACTACTACTACTACTACTACTACTACTACTACTACTACTACTACTACGATTACTACTACTACTACGATTACTACTACTACGATTACTACTACTACTACTACTACTACTACTACTACTACTACTACTACTACTACTACTACTACGATTACTGCTACTACTGCTACTGCTACTGCTACTGCTACTGCTACTGCTACTGCTACTGCTACTACTACTACTACTACTACTACTACTACTACTACTACTACTACTTCTTCTACTACTACTACTACTACCGCTTCTGCTACAACTACGACGATGAGGAGAAGGAGGAGGACGGCGTTTACCGCTCGTACTGATGCTGCTTTCCTAGAGGCTCCAACTCCTAGATAGGGTCGCACTGGGATAATTTTCTTACTTGCTGTATTGTCTCTCCTCCGTTTCCCATATGTTCTTATGTCGTATTGGAAAACTGCGTGCGTTTGTGTCTGTGTCTGCTCTTCCTCCTGAGCTCTGGCTGGTGTCGGCGCGCGTTCCCACAGCGCAGGTCCTGGCAAGCATCTTAAAAACGGACGAGCTCGGCCAACGCTTTCGCCACAGGCCGTGTTATTTTCCACCCGCTGGGTCTCTGAGGGACTCCTCGGAAGCCTCGCGCTTTTTCTCCAGAAGTCTCCCGAGGTTCCTGGAAGCGTTCCATGGCCTTGAAAAGACCTGCATCGCAAAAACCGGATATTGCCAACAAACCCGGCTTTGGAGGACAGGTGGGCGTGACTTGCGAGGAACAACAACAAATTAGCCTGACGAAGAACCCAACCATATGCAATCGTAGGCACCGTCGCTGTATGCACCGCCTTCGGTGGAGCTCCCTATGGGGCCACGAAGCGTGTGAGGGGTGTGCCAACATGGGCGCGGTGGGCGCATGCGAGCGCTGGCATTTGGGCCTTCGGTGGGCTCCCTATGGAGCCACGAAGCGTATGAGGGGTGTGCCAACATGGGCGCGGTGGGAGCATGCGTGCGCTGGGAAGTTGCGACTTCGGTGGAACCCCCCATATATGGCCACGAAACGTGTGACGGGTGTGCCGAAGTGAGCGCTGTGGGCGCATGCGAGCGTTGGCCTCTGGGCCTTCGGTGGAGCCCCCTATGGGGCCACGAAGCGTGTGAGGTGTGTCTGTGTATGTGCGTATGTGTATGTGTGTGTGTGTTGTGTGTGTTGTGTGTGTGTGTTGTGTGTGTGTGTGTGTTGTGTGTGTATGTGTGTGTGCTGTGTGTGTGGTGTGTGTGTGTTGTGTGTGTGTGTGTGTGTCTGTGGGTGGTGTGTGTTGTGTGTGTTGTGTGTTGTGTGTGTGTTGTGTGTGTTGTGAGTGGTGTGTGTGTGTGCGTGCGTTGTGTGGGTTGTGTGTTGTGTGTTGTGTGTGTGTGTGTGTTGGGTGTGTTGTGTGTGCTGTGTGTGTAGTGTGTGTTGTGCGTGCTGTGTGTGTTGTGTATGGTGTGTGTGTGTGTGAGTGCGTCACGAAGCGTGTAAGGAGTGTGCCAGGATGGGCGCGGTAGGCGCATGCACGCGCTAGCATTTGAGACTTCGGTGGAGCTCTCCCTACGTGACCACGAAACGTGTGAGGGGTGTGCCAGAATGGGCGCGGTGGGCGCATGCGAGCGCTGGCCTCTGGGCCTTCGGTCGAAACCCCTGAGGCGACGAAACGTGTGAGGTGTGTGTGTGTGTGCCGACATGGGTGCGGTGGGCGCATGCGAGCGCTGGCACTTGAGCCTTCGGTGGAGCTCCCTATGGGGCCACGAAGCGTGCGAGAGGTTTGACAAAATGGGCGCGGTGGGCGCGTACGAGCGCTGGCATTTGGGCCTTCGGTGGGGCTCTGTATCGGGCCACGAAACGTGTGAGAGTGCCACAATGGGCGCGGTGGGCGCATACGAGCGTTGGCATTTGGGCCTTCGGTAGAGTCCCCCATGGGGTGACGAAAGTGTGAGGGGTGTGCCAGAATGGGCGCGGTGGGCGCATGCGAGCGCTGGCCTTTGGGCTTTCGGTGGAGCTCCCGATGGGGCCACGAAACGTGTGAGGGGTGTGCCAAGGTGAGGGGGGTGATGGGAAGACGGAGGAGGGGGAGGAGGAAGAGGAGAGGAGAGGATAGAAGGTGGGACGCGGGGCGCTGTCTCTTCAAAACGAGGCCCAACACCACAGGATGGTTCGGACAAAATTGGACGCGTAAGACGCATAATGCTGGTTCCCGTATTGTCCGCTTGGCGGGGTGCCGCTGTAAGACGCATTATGCCGGTTGCTCCTGGGCTCAACACGTCAGTCCCTGCCCCCCCTCGGGGGCCCCTCTTGGGGCGTTCTTGGGCCCTCTTAGGGAGTCTTGAGGCCCTCTTGGGGGCCTCTGGGGGCTCGGGGGCCTCTGGGGGCTTCCTGGGGGCCGCTTGGAAGCTTCTTGGAGCCTCTTGGGGGCCTCTTGGGGCCTCGTGGCCGGTTCTTTGGGCGGAAAGCCTACAGTGTTGGTCCCTGACCCCCCTCTGGGGCCCCTCTTGGGGCGTTCCTTGGTCCTTCTTAAGCTGTCTTGGAAGCCTCTTGGGTCGTGTTGGGGGCGCCTTGGGCCTTCTGAGCGCTCTCTTGGGGCCTCTTGGGCCGTTTTGGGGCGACCTTTGGGGCCTCTTGGGCCGTCTTGGGGCGTCGGAAGGGCGATGAGGCGAAACCGCGAAAAACATTCAAACACCCAAGGAAAACACATCAATGTTAACTCTTGGGGCTCTCCTGGGGGGCCTCTTGGAAGCCTCCTGGGGTGTCTTAGGGGGCTTCCTGGGTCGTCTGGAGGCCATCTTGGACGGTCTGGACCGATCTTGCGGCGACTCGTGGCCCTCTTGGGCCCTCTTGCGGGCCATCTTGGGGCTGGCCGTGCCGCCTGGAAGCGCCTCTGCCGAACCGGGGCTGGGCTGTCTTTAGCCTGCTTCCGCCAGCGTTTCGTGGCCGGGGCCATGTCCCAGGGGATCCCCCCCCGCCCCGAGTAGGAAAATGTTTGAGGGACCAGAATGAACTTTCCGACTCCCCAGTCGGCCAGTCGAGAAGTCGGCCAGTCGACCAGGGGGGGAAGGGGGGAGAGTCGGATAGTTAATCCCGCTGCGTCAAAGATTTCCCACAAGCCGCAGGGGAGCTCACAACGGGAACCCCTCGCTTCGACCCGAATCCGCGCTCAAAAAATCGGTCCCGGACCCCACCCCACATCCATCCTGGCCGGTTTTTGTCCGAGCCGCGCCCAGCCCTGGCGGCAATAACCGCTCGATTAGCCTGATCAGAACGCGTGTCAGCATTAGGGCATGTCCTCCTACAAGCGGATTTTGGAAGAAACATAAGTCATAGTATCCTGGCGAAGGACCCAACCATATGCAGTTGTGGGTACCGCAATTGTGAACATCTTCTTCGTGAATCTCCCTATGGGGCCACGAAGCGCTGCACTGTGTGGGGGGGGGAACGCATGCGGGCGCTAGCACTGAGGCCGTCGGTGGAGCTCCGTTCGGGGCCACGAAACGCTGAACTGGGCAAGTGAAAATGCCGCATTGGGCTTCCGGGACGCATGCGGACGGTCCCACTGGGGGCTTCGGTGGGGCTCCCTATGCAGCCACGAAGCGCTGTACTGGGTGGGTGAACATGCCAACTTGGGTTTCCAGGGCGCATGCGGACGGTACCACTGGGGGCTTCGGTGGAGCTCCCTTTGGGACTACGAAACGCTGTACTGGGTGGGTGAAAATGCCAAATTGGGTGTGTGGGATGCGTGCGGGCGTCATTGGTGGCTTCGCTAGGGCTTCCTATGGGGCCACGAAGCGTTGTACTGGGTGGGTGAAAATGGCAAATTTGGCTTCCGGGGCGCATGCGGACGGTCCCGCTGGGGTCTTCGGTGGAGCTCCCTATGGGGCCACGAAGCGCTGTGTTGGGTGGGTGAAAATGCCAATTGGGTTTCCAGGACACATGTGGACGGTCCCACTGGGGGCTTCGGTGGAGCCCCCTATGGGGCCACGCAAAGTTGTACTGGGTGGGTGAGACTGCCAAATTGTGTTTTTGGGACGCATGTGGACGGTCCAACTGGGGGCTTTGGTGGGCTCCCTATGGGGCCACGAAACGCTGTACTGGGTGGGTGAAAATGCCAGATTCGGTTTCCGGGGCGCATGCGGACGGTCTCGCTGGGGGTGTCGGTGGAGCTCCCTTATGGGTCCACGACGCGCTGTACTGGGTGGGTGAAAATGCCAAATTGAGTTTCTGGGGCGCATGCGGACGGTCCCGCTGGGGGCTTCGGTGGAACTCCCCATGGGGCCACGAAGCGCTCTATTGGGTGTGTGAAAATGTCAAATTGGGCGTCCGGGGCGCATGCGGACGGTCCCGTCCGGGGCTTCAATGGAGCTTCCTCTGGGGCCACGCAACATTGTACTGGGTGGGTGAAAATGCCAACTGGGTTTCCGGGGCGCATGCGGACGGTCCCACTGGGTGCTTCGGTGGAGCTCCCTATGGGGCCACGAAACGATGTACTGGGTGGGTGACAATGCCAAATTTGGTAAATGGGGCGCATGCGGACGGTCCCGCTCGGGGCTTCGGTGGAGCTCCCTATGGGGCCACGAAACGATGTACTGGGTGGGTGACAATGCCAAATTTGGTAAATGGGACGCATGCGGACGGTCACACCGGGAGCTTCGGTGGAGCTCCCTATGGGGCCACGAAGCGCTGTGTTGGGTGGGTGAAAATGCAAAATTGGGTTTCCGGGACGCATGCGGACGGTCCCACTGGGGGCTTCCATGGGGCCACGAAACGCTGTGCTGGGTGGGTGAAACGCTGGGAGGAGGGAGGAGGGGGATGAAGGAGGAAGGAGGAACGCGGGGACCGTCTCTTCAAAACGAGGACCCAACACCACAGGATGGTTGGGAACAAACAGTACTCATACATAGTCTTGAAATCATAGAAAAAAAGGTGCCCATACTATTTGTTTGTGGGAGTGTTTGAACACTCCTCCTGTGGAGGGGCGTACCCAATTTAATGTTGGCACCAACGTGTGCTTGTCCCCTGAAGCCTTTCGATACGTCGCAGGCGATGGAATGAGAGCCGATACAGGCTGCGTGCTATCGGTGGACCTGAGCAGGGTAGACAAACACTAGCACATCGTGGCAATACATCCTGAGGATCATCGGACCCCCACGGGACGCCCAACAACCTCCGAGTCGACGAGCCTTGAGCAGCAGGCCCTTCACGCGCTCGATGGCCTCGGGGGACCTGAGGGGGAAGGCGAGGAAGGGGCTGGCTCTGGTCGGGGGCGCACAAACATGGATTAGCGATTCATGGATGAGGCGCGCGGTCGCCAGACCCATGGATCGGGGGAGGTGCACTCCCCAAAACGCCGGCGGTGCCGCCTCCTTCGGCGGCGGGAATCCGCGATTTCCCGTGGAAGCGGGACCCGTCGCTAATCCTTGCCCCCTTACTCCATGTTTGCGATCGCCCGATCTGGGGTCGAGCTGGAAGCGGCGATGCGTCGCCGACAGATCGGCGCCAGGCCCCCGACAAGCGAAACGGCGCGCTCCTGGTGGAGGTGCGCCATCAGGCCCTGAGCCTAGCTCCCCGGACCCAGACCCCCGACGCAATGAGATCTCCATGACGCGACCCCCAGAGGGCCGGACACATTCCCTGGGACCGGTTTTGCATCCCGAATCGTTTCTTGACGGTCCCGAGGCCGGGGAAGGGCCCCCACAGGCCGAAGATAGCGAAACACCGTCGATCGTGACTTTGTCGTGACTCAGAGGGGTCTGGGTCCAGGTGTTCTCCGGGAGGAGGGGGAGGAGGAAGAGGAGGAGGAGGGGGAGGAGGAGGAGGAGAAGGAGAAGGAGGATGAGGAGGAGGGAGGGGGAGGAGGAGGAGGAGGAGGAGGAGGAGGAGGAGGAGGATAGGAGGAGGAGGAGGAGGAGGAGGGAGGAGGAGGAGGAGAGGAGGAGGAGGATAGGGAGGAGGGAGGGAGGAGGAGGAGGAGGAGGAGAGAGGAGGAGGAGAGAGGAGGAGGAGGAGTAGGAGGAGGAGGAGGAGGAGGAGGAGGAGGAGGAGGAGGAGGAGGGGGGAGGGGAGGGGGGAGGGAGAGGAGGAGGAGGAGGAGGAGGAGGAGGAGGGATGGAGGAGGAGGGAGGAGGAGGAGGAGGAGGAGGGAGGAGGAGGAGGAGGAGGAAGAAGAAGAGGAGGAGGAAGAGGGGTCTGGGACGCTGCCCCTGGGGACCCGGGCTCCGGGTCGCCGCCCCCGAACAGGAAGGCCCGCGAGCCGCCCCAGGCGGCAATTCCGCAGCCGACCAGCGCCAGCAGGCCGGCGCGGCCGCGGCGAGGGGCGGAGGCGGCCATGGCCAGGGGGCCTCGGTGGCGGGGTCAGCGCCGCCGCGTCGCCGTCGCAGCGGTTGCCGCCGCCTCGTCGCCGTCGTTGCCACCGTCGCCGTCGTTGCCACCGTCGCCGCTGCCGCCGCCCCCGCCGTCGCCGCAGTCATCGTAAGGGTCGCCGTCGCTGCTGCCGCCGCCGCCGTCGCCGTCGAACTCGTCGCCGTCGAAGCCGTCGCCGTCGTCGGCGGCGGCTACGACGGCGGAGTCGTCGTCGTCGTCGTCGTCGTCGTCGTCGTCGTCGTCGTCGTCGTCGTCGTCGTCGTCTTCGCCCCGCCGCCGTTGTCGCCGCCGCCGGCGTCGCAACAATTATGATCCAGACCTGGCACAATGCACAGGCAACCTGCAAAAATACCATGCACGATCAATCTGTGACGGGTGCGCAAGCAAGCCCGGCTAAGTGCCAGGCTCTTTGGTGGGCGGGGGCGGTTCTGCTGTGGCGAGCCCGATCAACACACTTGCCAACGAAAAAAACTGCGCCGCGGTGATGCAAACGACCGCCTGGGCCAACGACGCGTTGTCCGCAAATGTGCTGCTCAGGCGACGCACGCAACTCCATTCCGTCTCACAAAGCGCGATCATTGTTGGGCTTGCTGCTGATGTAAGGCGCGGTGCTGCAAATTGGTCAATGGCAACTTTCGAACATGTGTGCCACAACGGCAAACGTCAAATCTACGATCATGTACCAGCAAGACCGGCCTAATTCAACCTGATCCCTCGCGGAAATACATACTTTGTGAGCGGGTGTCCAGTCTCTGCGCCCTGCACGATCCTTTTGTATCATGAAGATAATTGACCTGGCGGATCGGGTCACGTATAACAGTGAATACGATCGCGTGGTATGCAAACCCGACGCCGTGCAATCCCCAACCTCATCCTCGTCTTCATCCTCACCATCACCATAAAAACCAGCCCAAGCTGGCAATGGCACCGCGAGAAGGGATTCGGGTAGTAAGGTCTGGAGACACATGTTAGCCAGCATGGGCCCCAAACGCTGTGTTTTTAGCAATCGGCGCTGTACAATCCATGTTGTGAAATCCACGTTGAACCACATATGTATATATATATATATATATATATATACTGTGAGACATATGTTGTGCAATCTATGTGGTGCACTTGATTTTTACCCATGATTTGACACATCCCATGCTCTTGCAAACATCCCACCCACCCACCCGCAACTTGGTTTGCAAAACCTCTTCAGACCGACTACGACGACACCAACGACAACGACTACGACGACATCGACGACGTCTCCGACGACTTCCACGACGACGACAACGACGACGACGCAACCGACAACGACGACGACACCGACGACGACGACGACGCCGACGCCGACGACGACGACGTTGACGACGCCGACGACGACGACAACGACTACGACGACGACGACGTCGACGACGCCGACGACAACGACGACGACGACGGTGGTGACGACGACGACGCCGACGTCGACGACGACGAGGACGACGACGACGCCGACGACAACGACGACGACGACGTCGCCAACGAAGACGACGACGACGACGAGGGAGGAGGGAGGGCGACTACGGCGACAACGACGAGGGAGGAGGGAGGACGGCGACGACGCGAACGACGAAGAAGGAAGAAGGACGGCGACGCCGACGACGACAACGACGAGGGAGGAGGGATGACGACGACGACGACAACGATGACGACGACGAGACGCCGACGACGGACGACGACGACGACGAGGGAGGAGGAGGAAGGACGACCACGGGGACAACGACGACGGAAACGACCACGACGCCAAAGAGGACGACGACGACGAACACGAGGAAAGACAGAGGACGACGTAGGCGACGACGACGCAGGAGGAGGGAGGACGGCGACGACGACGACGACGCAAGAGCGCGCGCGCACGCTTTTGTTGAACACCCGTGTTGCAAAACATTGTGTTTTTGTTGGTCTTTTGGACACACGATTTTGAAATCTTTCCGAAACCGATGGGTTTTGAAGGATTTCGGTATACGCGCGCGACGACGCGCGCGTCTGCACTTCGTCTCGTTTTTTGCAGAGAATCATCGCGACGGCACACGCGCAAGGGCGTTCGACAGATTTCGACATGCGCGCGCGAAGCCCGCTTGGTAGCAGTTTGTGAAAATCTTGAAAACCCATGGTTTCCTTAAGATTTCGCAAGGGCTCGCGCGTAAGCTTTTCTAGCAAATCAGTGTTGCGAAACCCTGTGTTTTTGTATGTTTTCTGTTGGAAAATTGCAAAGTCCTTCCGAGACCGAAAGTTTTTGAAGGATTTCGGCCTGCGCGCGCGACGACGCGCGCGTGTGCACTTCGTCCCGTTTTTCGCAAGGGATCCGTGCAAAGTCTTATGTTAGAACAACAAGTGTCCCCGCGTTTTGATTTTTTACTAGGGAACCTCAGGGGTAGCGATACCGGCCCTCCTGGGATAATGTAAATTCATATTTCGGATGGACATGTGGTCATAATCATATAAACGGGGGTTGATAACGCCATGGTGGGGTATAGTTTGGAGAATCTACGAGGTGCAATTCACCTATTCTCGTAATGGGTTGTCGACCCCACTGCGCGCAATCATCCCGCCCACCCACCCGAAACTTGGCTTGCAAAACCAATGCGACGGCGATTGCGATGAGAGCTTGGTGTTGGCTTGTGCATCTCTGCGGCCGCGCTAGCCCGCGCATGCTCGCGCGCGCAGCGGCCAGCTAGTGCGGCGCGACCGACGCGGCCACGGTGGCGCTGATCGCTGGGCACTTCCCAACGGGCACTTCAGTGCGAGTCGGTGACTTGGGCGGGCGCGGTACCATGGCGACGCCGACAACGGTAGACACGATGGTGCAAGTAGCGATGATGGTGACGATGGTGGCGGTGAGGGCGGCAAGGCCCATGACGGCGCAGATGTTGATCACGCCCGCCCATAAAAAATGACGATGTCCTCGCGTCGGTGATGAAAGATTTGGAAGGCGTTCGACATGCGCGCGCGGCCGACGCGCGCGAATGGCCCGCGCTGTACTATTCGGCACGGGTCGCGCCCCCCCCCCCCCCCCAAGCACGCGTGCAAAGGCGTTCGGATGAGCTCGACATGCTGCGCGAAAGGCCCGATTGGCAGAACATGATGGCAACATTGACAAACAACAATTTTTTTTGGGGCGTGGGACAAATCGCAAGATCGCGCGCGCTGGTTTTGCACAACCATTTGTGTTTCGTATGTTTTCGGGGCCCTCGTTGGCCTAACCCTTTTACGGAACCCAAAGTTTTGGGGCGATTTCGGCATGCGCGCGCGCAACGCGCGCATGTGCACTTCGCCCCGTGTTCTGGAAAAGGCTTCTCGCGAGCACGCGCGCAAAGGCGTTCGAACGATTCCGACATGCGCGCGCGCGAGGCCCGTCTGGTTGCTTTGCATGAGCATCTGGAAACAAACTTATGCATTTCGTTGGCACTTGCCAGGGCCAGGGCGCAGGCCTTGTTTGAAAATCTTTGTTGCGAGCGCTCGTGTTTGTTTAACGTATGTTTTCGGGTTGCTCGATTTTGAATTCTTTACGACGCCAAGGGTTGCCGAAATATTTCGGCGCGCGCGCGACGACGCGCGCGCGTGCACTTCGTCCCATTGTTTTGCGAAAAGTGTTGCAACTGATCATGTTTGATAAACGAGTGCGCGCGCATAGTATCTTTTGCAGAGAACGAGGGGGAACTGTTACAATTTGGCCGGGGTGATCTGAACCAGTATTTCTGATGGACGATGGGGCAGATTCGCTTGTACATTGCACGACGGAAAGGTGACCCGTTAAGCCCTGGGGGGGGGGGGGGGGCAGAACCGAACGCAATTTAGAGCGGAGAATTAACTGCTGTTCGCAATGGATAGACAACTCCACTGCTCGCGCAATCTTCCCACCCACCCACCCGCAAATTTGTTTGCGAAGCGTGTGCGGCGGCGATTGCGATCAGTGCTTGGTGGTGGCAGGTGCGCCTCTGCGGCCGCGCTGGCCCGCGCGTGCTCGCGCGCGCAACGGCCAGCTAGTGCGGCGCGACCGGCGAGGCCACGGTGGCGCTGACCGCTGGGCACTTCCCAGCGGGCACTTCAGTGCGAGTCGGCGACTTGGGCGGGCGCGGTGTCATGGCAACGTCGGCAAATCTTAAGGATTCGCAGGAACGCGCGTGAAGGCTTTTTCACATGGTGATGTCGCACAACCATGTTGGTTCAAAAGTTTTCGGGGCGCTCGCTTGTGAAATCCTTACGAAACCAACGAATTCTGAAGGGTGTCAGCATGCGTGCGCGACGACGTGCGCGCGTGCATTTCGTCACATTTGTTGCAATGGTTTCTTGCGACAGCACCGGCGCAGGGGCGTTCGGACGATTTCAACATGCGCGCGCGAGAGGCCCGTCTGGTAGCACGCTACCAGCCAATGAGGTGCGGACGCAAGCTTCCTTGAACACTTGTCCCAACCATCCTGTGGTGTTGGGTCCTCTTTTGAAGACGGTCCCCGCGTTCTCCTCCTCCTCCTCCTCCTCCCCCTCCTCCCGCCTCCCCCCCCTCTTCCCTGCGTTTCGCCCGCCCAGTGCAGCGTTTCGTAGCCCCATAGGGAGCTCCACCGAAGGCCCCAGTGCCGCCGTCCACATGCGCCCCCCCCACTCAGTACAGCGCTCCACCGAAGGCCCCAGTGCCACCGTCCACATGCGCCCCACCCACTCAGCACAGCGCTTCGTGGCCCCATCGGGAGCTCCACCGAAGGCCCCAGTGCCACCGTCCACATGCGCCCCCCCCCACCCACCCACACACACGCGCACACGCACACGCGCACACACGCACACGCACACACACACACACACACACGCACGCACGCACACACACGCGCACACACGCACACACACATACTCAATGCAGCGTTTCGCGGCCCCATAGGGAGCCCCACCGAAGGCCCCAGCGCCGCCGTCCCGGCGCCCCCCCCCCCACCCACTCAATAGAGCGTTTCGTGGTCTCATAGGGAGCTCCACCGAAGGCCCCAGTGCCACCGTCCACCTTCGCCCCTCCCACTCAATACAGCGTTTCGTGTCCCTATAGGGAGTTGCGCCGAAGGCCCCAGTGCAACCGCCCACGTGCGCGCCCCCCCCCCCCACCCCACAAAGTACAGCGTTTCGTGGCCCCGTAGGGGGGCTCCACCGAAAGCGCCGGTGCCACCGTACACATGCGCCCCCCCCCCACTCAGTGCAACGTTTCGTGGCCCCATAGGGAGCTCCACCGAAGCCCCCAATGGGGGCCGTCCGAGTGCGTCCTGAAACGCCCAATTTGGCATTCTCACCCACCCATTACAGCGCTTCGTGGCCCCGCAAGGAGCTCCCAACGCCACCGTCCGCATGCGTCCCGCACACGCACACAATGCGGCATATTCGCCCACCCAGTGCATCGTTTCGTGGCCCCACAGGGAGCTCCACCGAAGGCCCAAGTGGGACCGCCCGCAAGCGTCCCGAAACACCCATTATGGCATTTCCACCCACCCAGTCCACCGTTTCGCGGCCCCGTAGGGAACTCCACCGAAGGCCCCCGTGCCAACGTCCGCATGCGTCCCGGAAGCCCAATTTTGAATTATCACCCGCCCAATACAGCGTTTCGTGGCCCCTTAGTGAGCTCCACCGAAGCCCCCAGTGGGACCGTCCGCATGCGCCCCGGAAGTTTTTTACCTAACAGCGAAGACTGATAGGTTTCTAGTGGTCTCAAAAGAGAGCAGCAGATGACTCCACAGGGGGGTCTGGGCGGGTGCCGGACAGGGTGCCGCAGAACTCATTTTAAGCCAACAGTCACACACTTCGTGCTCTTCGACTTCCCAGAACTCCATTCCCGGGCCACATTCTGAATGCCCGGAGCCAACTGTAGGCCACTTCGTGGTCTTCGAGTTCCCAGAACTCCATTCCCGGGCCACATTTTGAATGCCCGGAGCCAATTTTAGGCCACTTCGGTGGTCTTCGAGCTCCCAG